CCATAAGCTGTCAAATTTCTTCACAATAGGCCAGTTCTTAATAAATAGCACAAAAGTCAACCAATGAATTCCATCATGCATCTTGGGGAGAACCAGTTTGAATCCCCTTATTCTCTTCGGCGAAGTCGAAGCAACGTGGTGGGTCGGGAAGTGTTTGCAATTCAACATTCTCCCTTATCCCTGGAATCGTACTGAAGTCACGGGCTAGTAGATCTAGCGAATGAGCACTGCAGCGATCCAAGTTTCAGGTTCCCCTTGTCATCTAGAGTTCTGCGCCCCTTTGCTACACTTGCAGTGTTCATAAATGCCTCATAAAACTTTACTTTTAAACAAGAAATCCTCACCTAAGTAGTTTAATTGTGCTGAGCAATAAAAAAATCATTTCAGAAGTCCAGCAGTAACAGTAAAAATGTCATTGATAAATATTCCCACATCAAACATACCCATTGTACTTGGAACACAAACTTTTTGAAATTTGTAGATGTGCATTCCAGCCAAACCTAAGCTGTCATTCCCTCACTGAGTAAGACGTGGCAGGCAGGCTGAAAAAATGAGGGTAGAATAAGTTTACTCTAGAGCATGGGTTCCCAAAGTGGGGGGCGTGAAGAAATTCCAGGGGGGGCGTGAGGTGACCCAGCCACACACCCCTGTGAAGGGGGACGTGATGCCAAAAGGTTTGGGAACCGCTGCTCATCGTCCAAAGAGCAGTTTCCATGTTTCATTCAGACGCGCAGGCCCTGCGTCCTGATGCATTGTTTACCTTCAGTGCTTGCTCCTTTTACACCGAGGTACAGGGAGCTCTTGAACATATTCCCGTAGGATCTTTTTTCAGCCCTGCAGCCATGGTCATTGCCCCTCGCCCCTGCCCCACCTCCAGGTGTTGAAATCAGCACCTGAGATTGCCCTCTGAAGAATGGTCCCTGGTTCTCAGTGTCCTGCTTTGACACTGGTGTTGCTCCTTTTCCCCCGTTACAAACTTCCTTGCTCCCCACTCCCCTGCAGAAACCAAAGCCCTAGCAGCAATCCAAGGCGCCTGCTCATGCAGCCCACACCTGCCTGTACTGCAGTAGTGCATTTGTTTACGGAAAGGGGGGGCCGTGCACAATTAGTGGTTGGCCGTGCACAGGCAAGGTGACAGAGAACACCGTTTCCTGGATGTGCCCTGCCCCATCCCGAAGCAGGGGCTGGCAGACCAGTGGTTTTGCAGGAGCTGGAGAGGAAGTTGCCAGGGTGTTAATACTCACACTGAGAACAAGCTATAACGTAGCTGCATGACACACCCCCCCCCCTCCACCACCAGCGGGCTCAGTGGATGATCCAGACAAGCTACATGACTGTCTCCTAGAGACAAGCTGGGCCCAATGCTTGTGATGATTTTGCACCCCCCAGGATCAAGCACCGGGCCTACTGGGCCCTTGGTAAAGCTTGAGCTGAGAAGCGAGATGTTTTCTACAGAAGCAAACAACATCCGCCACAAAATCAAAGGGTCATTTGATCTCTGCCATCAAATGCCAGCAGTGCCCGCTGCTCTAGAGACTGGACGGTCTCTGCGGGAAAGCACCAATGGACACATTGGATATGTGCAAAGGGAATATCCAGAGGCCTGTTGGTGAGCACTGTAGCTTGCCTAGCCAGTCTGACAGACCTGCAGGTGGCTGGCTTGTCACAAGCCAGCTCTACAAGCCAAATACAGAGAAGCCCTGGAATCCCAGTTCACCCACACATTCAATTCACGTGCTAATGGACTGCTGGGGACTCTACCTATTTAATAACCACTGAAGGTGCTAACAGCTCCCTGAGTGGCGTCCTTCCTGGTTTAGGAATCTATCGACTTTGATTTTTATCTGCTTTGGTTTAAGCCCCGTTCTCCAGATACTTAATGAGGCTCTTTCTCTCCCCCCTCCTCATCCCCTGGCCTATTTATTTTGAATTTTCACATCCCCAACTCATAACTCAGTCATCTGAAGAAGGGGGCTGTGCCCACGAAAGCTCATGATCCCAGCTACGTGTTTTGTTCGTCTCTAAAGTGCTCCCAGCCCGTTGGTTGTTTTTTCTACAGAAGGACCTTAGCCCAAAGGCTCGGGGTTCAGCACCAGTAGTTTGACCTAAACGTTAGGAGATTGTGGACGTTATTTTTGAAAAGAAAAACTTAGAATTTAAACCACAAATTCCCTGCAAGCCAGAACTGATCCAGGCCTCTCCTCGCAGCACGGCGTGAGCAAGTGGTTTCCGCCCAGCCACACGCCTGCCCCGCTGGCAGCCACAGCACAGAGGCCAAAGTCTGGCCTGAACCACGAGGAGCAGACTCCGCATTCGCCCCTCCAGGCCAGCTGCTGCAGGGTTGACTCCAGCCGGATGGCATCAGTGCCATTTACTCCACAGCAAACACTTCCAGCTGGGCGGGATGAACAGGTAGGTTTCCGGAGCACAGCAATTGCTACAGAAAAGAGACTTTATTTTTCCAGTTCACAGGACAGCTCCCATCGCACTGAACACAGCCCAGCCATTCACGCCCTCGGCCGCATACACACACTGCAACCGACATCTGGGCCAGCGGGCCCCTGGCCACTTGCATACAAAGGGTCGCGCAGCCCTGCCAGTTGCTGGGAACCTGCGCGCATCAGCAGCCAATCACTAAGTACTGGGCTGCAGCAAAGCTGAGGACACAGACTCGCGCCGCAGCCCAAGGGGCTCGGAGGGAGCCTCTTAGGGGCTGTGCAGCTTTTCCAGCTGTAGCTTTGGCCAAGTGACTGGTTGAACTACCACCCCTCAAACAGCAGCAGGAGAGCAGAAGGCAGCAGGGGCTGTAATGGTCCTGAACACTCCTCTTGTGAGGAGAGCTCCAGGCCACTAGCCCCTCGCCTGGGACAAGTCTCACAAATGCAGCCAGCAGAGGAGTGAATAAAACAGCCAAGTTAACTTTTATTAACATTACACACAAATGTACCATCAACCTCCTGGTAGAAAAGTATTTTACAGACATTCGAGGAGACATCGTATAAATAGCGCGAGGAAACGTCACCGGCTCCACTCGGCCCAAGTCTGGCTGTGGCTCCTTGCAACACACAGCAGAGCCTGCCAGCTCTCTGACTGCTAAGTACCTTGGCTCCGCACTCACGAGGCACCGGGACCCCCGAGCAGGGCCCCAGTTCGACTTGGCGCGGTGACGGAGGCGAAGGGGCGTCTCCCCTGCTTAAGGCACAGGTTTCAAATCCAACGTTACGCTCGCTGCGGCCGAGACGCACGTTCCAAACAGGCTCAGGTTCACAGGATGAAGCGCCTCCTGCATGCTTACAAGAGAGCACCTGGCTGGCTAGTGGCCTTCACCGACGAGAGGGGCTTCTAGAAACCAGACGTCTGAGCAGACGTCTCATCTTCAGCTGCACACGGCATCTGTCTCTTTGGAACAGGAACTGTCACGTGGCTCGCTGCGGCCGAGACGCACGTTCCAAACAGGCTCAGGTTCACAGGATGAAGCGCCTCCTGCATGCTTACAAGAGAGCACCTGGCTGGCTAGTGGCCTTCACCGACGAGAGGGGCTTCTAGAAACCAGACGTCTGAGCAGACGTCTCATCTTCAGCTGCACACGGCATCTGTCTCTTTGGAACAGGAACTGTCACGTGGCTGCTGGCTGCTCGCCACGCCAGCCCTGCAATGGGCTTACCCTAGGGCAGCTCCTGGCCAAACGCTGCTGGAGCCAGCGTGCGCGTCTGTGGGGCATGCCCCATGGGTGGAGGGGGCTCCGTGAGCTGCCTGCTCCTGCAAGTATGGTCCAGGCAGCTTTCCAGCCAAAGGGAGCTGCAAGGATGATGCTGGGTGTTGGGCAGCGCATGGAGGCCCCTCTGCCCCCATGGCAGGCTGGATTGGGCCTACCCCAGCCTAAGGACAGAGTGCAAAGCTAGTGCCTAGTGTATGGCCAGTGAAAGGCAGGCATGCGCCTGGCCCCGGGCTGGGCGAAGAGAACATCCATTTGACCCCCCCTCCTCCCGGGCCCAGTTCTGCCCTTTCTGGCTGGGCCTAGATTGGCAGACCCAAGGGTCAGCGGGGCTGAGGGCCCTCATGGAGGAGCCACAGTGTCTCTGTCCCTGCCCAGGCCCGTACAGCTGGGCTGGTGCAAGCCAGATGCCCAGAAAGTGCCTTGGGCCCCACCAGGGCATGCTGCTCAGGCTCCCCTGGGAGATGCTGAAGGTCGCTGGCCGGGGAGTGGTCAGGCCCGGGGAACCGTGGCCAACACACGGGGCTGCTCGGTCCACTCAGTGTCAGCTCCCAGAGCATCCCCTTGGCAGGATCCGGAGCAGAGAGCAAGGGCTGTGCTGCTGCTGGGTGAGAGGCCCCTCCACTGTGGCCAGGGCCCTCCGAGGAGCGACACGACAGGGGCTGCCACGGCCACGCGGAGTGAGAAGCAGAACTGCTCGGGGGAGGGGAAAGCCGGGCAGCCCTGGCTGGCAGGAGTCGAGCCCCAAGGAGCAGCTCATGGCGGTGCTAGGAGACAGCTCATCTGGCAGGGAGCTGCTGTCACTTACGCCCTGGCTGACAGGCCAGGGTAGCTCAATCCCTGTCTGGGTGCTGGTGGCTGTAGGGCTCCATGTCCCGCTGGCAAAGGGTCGCCTGGTGCTGTCACAGGTTGCAGCAGCGCAGCGGGAAGAGGAATCTGAGCAGCTGAGCCCAATTCTGCCAACAGGAATGTACTGGACACGCGTGGACCTGGAAGAACCAACCCACTGACATTCCCTTCCTAGCACAAGTTGCGAGAACTGGGCCCAAGGGAAGACCCTCCTGTCCCCCCAGCAGGCTGACGGCCAGGGAGCATGGTGCTGCGCCCGGACACTAGCCACTGGCCAGGCTAGAAGTCAGCACATCGTGACTGGGAGAGAGGCCTGGGGAGGGGAAGGGATCTGTGCTGGCTGAAGAGAGACCCGAGGCCTGCCTCCTCCCTGGGGAGAGGGAGGGCCTGGACCCACCCCCTTCCCCCTTGCCACCAGCCAGCAAGCCACCTTGGCACTAAATGACCCGCTCTGCAGACGGGGCAGGGCCAACAGTTTCATTCCTATTTCCCATGAAAATCAGCAGCCTTTCTGGCCTTTTAAGATGGGGAAGTTCAACCCTCCCCCAGAGACTGGACTCTTCTATCAAAATAGTGTCTCTAGCTACGGGGCAGGAAGAGAGAGGAGCTTACAAGGGCGGCTGCTATTCTATCGGCACGAGCAGACGCACAGGGAGTCGCTGAGGGTTTCCAGCTAGTGCCCCTTCGCTCCAGCCACTCCCTTTCGAAACAACAGAACTGCACTGGTGCCCTGGCCTGGTGGTACCCGGGCTCGAGGCAGGGACTGGGCGCCACCTGCATGGTAGAGTCTGCATTAGCTGCCTGCTTCCTCCAGGGGAAAGACGGTTCCTGCCCCGTGACGTGGAGAGGGGCCACGTGGGCTCGGCTCCTTACAGGAAGTCCAGCTCGAGGGCCTGGTGAAGGGACACAAGGTCTGCGTGGCTCGCGATCCTCCAGAAGGGCATGTTGTGCTGCCACCTGCATGGTAGAGTCTGCATTAGCTGCCTGCTTCCTCCAGGGGAAAGACGGTTCCTGCCCCGTGACGTGGAGAGGGGCCACGTGGGCTCGGCTCCTTACAGGAAGTCCAGCTCGAGGGCCTGGTGAAGGGACACAAGGTCTGCGTGGCTCGCGATCCTCCAGAAGGGCATGTTGTGCTGCAAGAGACCCC